AATTTGCACAGAAACCTAATCAACATGAACTACAGTATGTTTATGATTTATTTTTTAACAACTATAAATTTTATAATAAAAAAAACTAAATATATGGCTTTAAGTCCTTTCTGTAAATAATTACACATGTATGTGAAGTTATTGCCAGGCAATCTTCTTTCCTATACAAATACCAGGATCAGTCATGTAGAGACACTCAAAAAAATGTTTAAACTTTTCTCCTCGGTTTGGTTTTTCATGCAGCTTTAACTGAAAACATAACTAAATAAAAGATTTTATTCTGTCAAAGTGAACTGTAATGAGGAGTACACAGTCTTACTTTGTCCACGATGGTTGCAGCGCTGGATGCGCTGACAGTCATAGACACAATTGCTCGGGTGATTCCAACTCCTGCGACGACAAAAACCTAAAACACAGGTTATGCAACATGTTCAGCTGTTTTTCTACGCAGTTTATCTCCTGGAGCATACGTAGGCTCCAGGAATGCTGATAACATGGCTGTGCTTGCTAACATCACTGACAAACACTGTGCTGTCTTCTTTTATCTTCTCACCATAGATTAGCTCATATTGTCTGTTGTGCTGGTTGTGATATTAATGCACATAAAGATCCATCAAAATTTGAAAACGCTGTGCCAGGGGTTTGGAACAGACTGTTCAACGGAGCTGCAAATTGTTTTCTTATCAGGAAAGTGTTGCACAAGGTCATTTATCTTCGCTAAGAGACAAAAAGTAGGAGTTAAATACAGTTCCGACGGCAGCACACCTACAACTTTTGGAGAGAATTAATGTTTCAAACGTCTGGGAAGAATGTCCAAAAATTTGTAAGCTAGGACCCTCAAAAGCACCAATATTATCAGGTCTAATGTGATGTGTAACAATCACAGTAGCAGTGCTGAGAAGCTGCAGAAGCTCAGTGTGAGTGCCATCAGGAAAGGCATCCGGTGTAAAACAATTGCCAAATCTTTTAGTGAGGRTGCTCGCTGTGATGACCCCTGAAGAAGGTAGCAGCTGAAAGAACAACAACAACAATGGCATAACTGAATATATCAGTTTTTTTTCTGTTTGTACCCTACCAGCAAGTAGAAGGTGACAAAAATGGGGCTGGAAGTGAGTCGAATCTTTGCCCTGGCTGAGGGCAGCTTCCACATCAGGAACACAAAGAAGGCTACATTTGGCACCAGCAGTAAAATGTCCCAGAAACGCACCCTGARACAAAAAAACAAAGAGAAAGTACCGGTAATGTTAATGTACTTTCTAAACGCTGCATTACTAATGTTAACTAAGAGCTAACGATTACCTGGAGTCTCCAGCATCCTCATACAGCAGCTGCAGACATTTGTGAGGCCTGCTGATGTTGGATGCAGAATCGGGTTGCCAGGTTGGGAATGCCGAAGTGTTCTCCGGCGAGGACGTAGGTGAAACGGTGTCATTGTACTGAGTGAAACTGACCACAGCAGTCAKTACGTTTAGCATGGTGTCAACGCCTGGGTGAAAAAGAAAAATCTGTTAGGTGGAAAACCATATTTACCTTCTTGCAGTCTGTAAGTATTAAAGGCCAGGTGAGGTGGTTAGGATGCATTCAGTGTTTAGTCTATTTTACTGACTTTTCTGTTAATGCAAACTAGATTAAAATCTTAATAACAAATGGTTCCGTAACAGAGATCTCAGACTTCTATAAATATTACATTATTATGTAACTTGTTGCTGACTTTAGTTAAACTGCTAATACAACTAGTCGAAAATACCAAAATACCATGATGTTGGACTAAAATGCCAGAACGTATTCACTAAGGCCTCTTAAATTTTATAATTTGAAGTTCATCTAAGCAAATATTCCTGCGCAGCTGTAAAACTACGGTACTTTCTCTTAAAGGGGAATTTCAGTCATTAGCTAATAGCTAGCTAGCACCCGTCGGAAGATAAGCCGTATTTGTAAAYCAAAATTATTTTTCCTCGCATGTTATTCAGAAATAAACACAACATATGTCAAGATACTATCGGTGAAATAGGCTTTTTAAATCAACATTTATCACAGATGAAAAGCCGAGTGACCAGCATTACCAAAACAAACATGAAAAGAGACTGTTTACTGACGCTGACATAACAGCTCCAAGTAGTAAACACTGACGTCTTACCGCTTAAGAAAACTCGATTTCAAGTATTAAATAGTAGCAGGATGTCCTAATCGATTAGATGACCCCAGCGCAAGTTATACGTGTTGTTATAGACGTTTCAATCGAACAACACACRGAACACTGTACAGACCCATAGCTGCCTCTACTGGATACTTTCGTTGACTAAAATTTCCCGTGTGGGTCACGTGACTACTTCACAAGGGGTCTGCATCTTTTATTCACCACGGTAGTTAGCGGAGGCGACTCGCCCACCAACTTTTAGCCTGAAATGATTGAATGAACAATGCATCTGCTGAATTAATCAAGGAGTAAATTATGCTATATTTATTTATTTGTYATAAAAGTTATTATTTAATACATCAATGACACAATCCCACCTTGAAAAAATCACCAGACTGCCGCTCCTTTGCGACGCAGCTCGAGCCGGTTTATGCGCCTGCAATACACAAAGAGGCTAACCCACGCTTATCAAACAAGTCTCGCGAGAATG